TGTGCTTGTGCAACAAGTCAGTTCCATAAAGAATTCCTTTCCAAGTGTATGAGCAGTCAGACTTCTCATGTAATTTAGTATCCAAAATAAAGTTCCCTTGCAAGTATTTCGCCTCATAGATTTTCGCCCGGAGACTTGTATCCTTAACATGAATTCTCTATCCAATTTTAGCCAACAAAGCTTGGTTCATCTCTGTCGTTTTCTTTAATCCCACACCTCTAACTCACTTGGGCCTGCAAACAAGGTTCCATTGACATAAATGAATTTTCTTTTTCTGTTGAGAGTCCCCCCAAAAGAAGTTTATGTTCAACTTATCCAAATGCTCGCATACACTAACTGGAAGCTTAGTGGTTTGCATAGCATACACCGGTGTAGCAAAGGTGACTGCTTGGATTAAGGTGGCTCTTCTAGCCATTGAAAGGATATTACTCTTCCAAGAAGAAAGTCTACTCTGAACTTTATCAATATCACCCTTATAAGTTGATTTAGAGACTCTACATTGGATCAATGGCATCCCTAATAATTTCCAAGATTATCAGATAGAGAAGATCCACAAATAGCACTTATTTCTCTAGCCTCATTTGCACAAGTATTAGGAGAACAATACAACATAGATTTCTCAAAGTTGACTGCTTGGCCAGATGCCAAGAAGAAATTTTCAATACATCTCTTCATCACCCTAGATTGTTTTGGTGTTGCATCTGCAAAAAGCATAAGATCATCTGCAAAGAAAAGATGAGAGGCACGGGGACCAAACTAAGAAGCCTTGACATGTTTCCACTTACCAGAATTGACTTCATTAGTAATAACATGTGACAACTTCTCAACACAAAGTACAAAAATATAAGGGGACAAATGATCCCATTGGCTAATACCATTACTAGGCGTAAAGCTCTCAGTTAATTCACCATTAACACAAACCTGGTAATTAACAGAGGATATGCAGTCCATGATAAGATGAATCAAACTTTCAGGCAAGCCAATCTCATAGAGCACACCACTGATAAAGCTCCAGTTTAAGCGGTCATAAGCCTTAGACAAATCAATTTTCCATGCTAAAAAACCTTTCTTACCCTTGGACTTTCTAAACTTATAAAGAATCTCTTGTGCAATGAGAATATTATCCGTTATATGTCTACCAGGGACAAAGCTAGCTTGATTTGGGCTTATCAATCCAAGGAGAAGAGGCCTGAGCCTCATCCTTTGAGGGTTCTCAATTTTAGGCACTAAAGCAATTAACGTACTGTTCAAACCATAAGGCAATTTATGAGTTTGAAATGTTATTTTAACCATATCAACAATATCACTTGCACATCTGCCCCATTGAGCTTGATAAAAGTAAGTAGGAAACCCATCGATACCCGATGCTTTAGTACCTCCAATACTGAAAAGGCTATCCTTAACTTCCGCATGGTCAATCTTTCTATTAAGTGATCCAATATCATCCAAATGAATAGAAGGAAAAAGTTTAGGTAGAGAATTAACCTGTCTAGACCATTTCCATGAAAGAAGAATGTTTGAAAGTACTCCACAACAAGACTTTTCAGGTCATCATGGTCTACAATCCAATCACCATAATCATTCTTCAGTCCCTCAATTCAATTTCTCCTTCTTCTCACAATCATGGTAAGATGGAAAAATTAAGTATTACGGTCACCGTCTTGTAACCATTTCAATCTAGACTTTTGATGCCAGAAGACAGCTTCCTAATTTAAAATTTTGTTGAACTCTGAAATTAATTCCCGTTCCAAGTTGAGAAGAAAATTGTTTGGGCCTCTACATAGTGTTTTATGGATACCATCAATGCGTCTAAGGAGCTTCTTCTTCTTCTGCTTGAAGACATGAACATTCCATCTTTTCAGGGGCTCAACTAGAGCACAAGTTTTGTCCAAAGCAGAACCATGAGAATTACTCTAGTTTTCTACAATAAGCTCATCAAAAGCATCATGCCCAAGCCACATAGCCTTAAATCTAAAAGGTCTTTGAAGAGGATTGGGGACATGAGTAGATTGAAGACTGATTTTGAGAGGACAATGATCAGATTTGGTATGTGGTAAGTGGAAAACACTTGCCTCTGAGAATAAGTTTCTCCAAGCCATATTACATAATCATCTATCAATTCTTTCTAGAGTTTTCTTGTTAGTCCAAGTGAATTTAGGATCAACATATCCTTAGTCCAACAAATTATTTGTATCCACCCAAGCTTTAAAGTCCTTGATCCTACAAAGAGGAGCACCACCTAGCTTATCACCCACCTCTAACATTTCATTAAAATCCCTTGCTAGCATCCATAACATTTGGTGGTAGTCAACTACACCATTAAGGTAATCCCACAATTTTCTTCTCTTCACAATACAAGGGCTAGCATAAATGAACGTAAGCAACCAGGGGTTATAACCAGCTCCCCTCACACAAACTGAGATGGATTGATCAGTGGTGCCAATAATATCAATATGAACTTTACTGTTATCCCAAAGAAGCCATAACTGTAACGCCTCGCTTTATTTCATAATTTACCTTTAGTGGTAGGCCAAAAATGTCATAGTTACCCTTTATGTTAATAACCATTCTAACATTTCTCAATTTGACGATTTTCCACTAAAATTTAATCTCATTTATTTTATGGCTGCATCTAACTTCTCATTAGACTGCCTACGTACCCTTCGAAGGGATCAAGCCAATCGTAGTTCACAATTCACAAACATAGATCAATGACAATAAAATAAAATAACAATTCAATATAAATCACCGATATTATAATCACTCATACGTAAAACAAAACACCTGCAGTCGCAATGAGCCCACTAAGCTTCATGAAATGTCAACATCACTCTAAGATAAACGGCACACTAGAAACTCGATTTAGTTGACTATAAAAAGTCAACCGTCGATCAAGATCGAGGATAGGGTTCACAACCCTAGAAATCTAAACCGGAAGATCCGCCTATCATATTTATGCTTTGTAACTTCTCAACATCCACATTATGCCTCTAGAACAACATACTAAAATTTCATTACGATCCAATAGTTGGATCTCCACCAATCGCAAATTCAAGTGGCGGCCAACGTTTGATTTTACAAACTTAGAAATCAAATTCGGGAAGATCCGTAAGTTCCTATTGTCCTCAAATATTACGTACTATTACGTGTTAAATTTTGGTGACGATCCAACGGTCGGATCATCGATTCATATAATATCCAAATGGCGGTCCTTATCAAAACTATAGTCATGCGACGAGATTTCGTCAATCGAACGTCATATATGGAATCAGGGTATTCAAATTAGTCTAGGAAGAGCAGGTGGGGTCTCAACCCATGCGCTACCACCACGTGCCGCCGCACGCGGCTGCCGATCACCCCGACTCGCCGAAAAATCAACTATTTCTAAAAATTGCCAAATTTTACAAAATTGTATATCTCAATGAGGGGAGCAATTTTCATTCCTGGGCCGAAGCCTAGTTTGGCCAGAAGTGGCCTGAAATCACCAAGAACCGCCAGAAAACCCTAAAAGAGTGAACTTCGATTCGTCCATTATGTCGCTCCGCCCCCCCTAATGTTGATTGGGCTTTGTTCCTGGACTCCAAAGACACCTAAGGGTGGTGATGGTTGACGAAAATCCCTTCGAAAATGGATGAATTCCCGTCGTGGCTTCGGAACACCCACCATCGGTTCTTCACCAAATTACCCCCAAATTCCTTCAAATTTTAGGTGAAAATGGAAGAGGGAGTGGCAAGATGATGATTGGGCATGATAAATCAGTCCAATTCGTTGGAAATCCGATGGAAAACCATCGAAAAATATGGAAGAACGGGTCGGGTCATGCGGGTCAAGGGGAAACGTTTCCCCCTCATTTTCTTCTCCCTCCTTTCCCCTCATTTCCTCTCTTCCTGATTGGCCGGTCCCATCCCTCCTTTCTCTCTTTCTTATCCCAGTCGTCCATCTCCCTCTTTTCTTTTCTTTTCTTTTCCTTTCATCCCAGCCACACACGTGGCATATCACAAACAGTTTGCGCCTATGCATTCGTGAGATCGAGCTCTATCCAAAGATGCCAAGAAATATGATCAAATATATGAGGATAAAATACATCCTCATATAGTTACGTTAAACCAACTAAGGGCATTTTCATCTTTTTCACTTATCGATAAATTTTACGACGTAAATTATAATAATTTCCAATAACAAAATTATAAAATTTCTCAATTAAATTTTCATAACCATAAATCGATTTATTTTCGATTTTCTCCACATATTCATAATTCAAATTCATATACTTAAAATTTTCAGGGTATTACAATAACCCTCCAGAGAACCCATTAGCATCCACTATTTTAAATGAAGGAAAGCCCAGCGATTTGGCCACAAAAAGGGATTTGGATCCTCCCTTGAGCTAATGGAGAGGATCTTCCTGACCAATCATCGTGGGCCATTGGATTTTTATCTAACGGCTATAATTATTATAACTTTAAAGCATGGTCTAAAATATCCATAATATCCTGATATTTCCATCGAAATTTCCATGTTTTTGGACTACCGATATTTCCGATATCATCGATATTTTAGACCTTGCTAAGTCACTCATGTATCTTACCATGCAATGTATAAAGTGTAAAATATTACTAATTCATTATATATAAATGATTATGGTGTGTTTAAACTTCTTTCATTAATTACTACATATTTTTTACACTCACAATATTTGCTAGCTCTCTATATAATCAACTTAAATCAGTTATATCTATCATGTAATGCATTTCCTTCCAATTTTTTGTGATAAACTAATAGATAATTGACTAAATAAACATCCTGCAAAGTTTCAATAAAAATTTCCAAGTTTTTCTTACAATTTCCGTGGTTTTTATTTAATTTTTATCGATATCGATAATATCCTGATATTTCCATCGTAATTTCCGTGTTTTTGAACTACCGAAATTTCCGATCGATATTTTATACCTTGCTTTAAAGGGATGTTTGTAGCTATTAGATAAAAATCCAAATTGAAAGAATCTCCAATTTGTGGTTTTGCTTTAAATTAGTAACATTATTCTAAAATTTGGTGCAGCCAAATCCTCTAGAATTCCACACAACTATATTCATATTTAAAAATAATACGGATTGAGAAGGCAGAGAACCAACAGCTTCCAATAACAAGCACTACACCTTTAGAAATGTTGACAGAACGCATACCTAACATATAAAAATTTGACACAATCTCCTGACAGATCAAATGCTAGGATACCCAGAAAATCAAGAACACAGACAACCCTAGAGATTTGCTGGTACAAATTAACAAAATTGTGGAAAGTTACAGAATTTTGGGAAGAATTACCAAATTATCTCAGATGGGTTACGAGGCCGCAACCATCTACATCAACAATCGAGGCAGCAGCAGAAAAACAGAGATCGAAAGAATGATTTTCCACCGATTAGCAGGAGGTCCAGGTTGCTTTCACTGAGGAGAGAGAAATAATTGCAGGGTGGAAGATGGTTAGGAAGACTAGGGGAATAGAGGGTTAAAGGGCATGGCGTGATACTGGATAGAGGGAAAGGGTAGATCTGCAGGAGGAAGAGAGAAGGGATGAAGGTAAACAGGGAAAAAAGGCAAGCAGGAGAGGCTCACAGATGAGAGCATTTCACAAACGTGGGTAAGTGTCTACGTTTTTAGAGTTGTTAATCTGTAAATACAATTGTGTTTTGAATTCAAATTCTTCTGATTAGTGTATCTCTCATACTCAATTGGTTTGACCCCACACAATTATTCGAGAATGAATAATATTTTACTCTTAAAATATTTTACTCTTAACGAGAAATTTGATATTGGATTGAGTAATGGGAATGAGAGGTTTTAAGTTCGATTCTTATCAAAAGTGAATTTGATCTAAATTACTATGACTAGTTATTGTGAAGCTTAATCCACTTCCTCACCTTTTAGTGTAGTTACAATTATATATCATTTAGCTAATCTTCTCTTGTCAAATTGATGCAGCACTTTGCCAGCTCATTAAATCTACAAGAACTTGGAATGTCAATGTAGCGGTGTTTCAAATCAAATATGCAATATTATGTGAGTGAGGACTTAAAATTAAAAATGTGACGTCGTGTTATTAGTCAAGAATTTCACGATAGCTTCCAAATAAGGCAAATAAGTCCTCCAAATCAAGGAAGCTTTCACATAAAGTAGCTAAGGGTTTTCTTTTCGCCTTATTGTTCATTTCACCATAAAAGCTCTGCACGTTCATAGATCTGACAAAACGCTAACGCATACAAATTTACAGATCACAAATTCAAATAAAAAACAAGTTGGATTCATGGTGATGTCGAGTTAAATACTAATTTATTATGATTGGCTGAACTCATTGTTTGACTTAACTAAAATTCTCAATCAATCTTTAGTTTAATAAATCGTTGTATTAATAATAAAAATTAAAAAAAAAACATGCAAAAGCAGTCTCACTCCTATTTCTTATTTTTTTAGGTAATAAACAATCAAATTTTTAAATATTAAACATAACCATATTCCTAATTAACTATTATTATAATCTTGCAGTACAAGGGTAGCCGATTGACCTGACACACGGTGTTTTCTTATATCCAAATCTGTAGGACAAGAAGGAGCATGTAAGGTATGAACCCTCTTCACACATCTCGTACCTAAACATCCAGGTATCATTCTGATTCATGACTTCCGATTCCAAGTCGGTAAGCACGCAGTCAGTGGGAACACATACCAAACACACGGCTGTCCCTAAGCAATATATACATATAGATTGATCAGAGCATATTCTCTGTATCATGCTCTTGCAACATAGCATATTCAGTTGATGAAATTAAAATCCAGTGCAAGTCAAGGTTCACGATTCATTAATCTACGAGAAGTAGTATCGGTACAACTATACGGGAAATATATAATCTAGGAGAAGTTGTATCTCGGTTTTCCTAAGGAGAACTATCATTCGGATCAGTTAAAAGCTCAAAACTAGTAACGAGTTAGCAAAGCTCTTTCTACATTACAGAACTACAAATGCGCAGGCAGGACATAGGAGCGACTCTGGTGTTTCATAATCCCTTCATTTGTTTGCAACTTCACGCCTTAAAAAGGTGGGGGCAAGCAGCTTCTCCAGCTCCACTAATCTGAAATTACATGTACATAATTGGTAAACAAGCAGAAATGTGTTCTGGAGCATAAAATGTAGCACCAAACATCAATCGTTGACTTACATCTCATATTTCTGGATTGCTTCCTTTCGTTTCATCACATATGCGTCACCATCTTTAGGTGCATTGATCAATGCATTGCATACAGAGAGTGGAGCTGGGAAGCCGGTCAAACCAACAGAATTGGGTCAAATGACAAAATTAAGAAGGAAAAATGCAACATCTTATATAGCACTTCAAATCCATATGGCTATTTATAGCCTTTAAACCGAGTTTATTCGGTCTTGTGACAGACTTCAACTTATTTGTTTGTCAATTTTAGGTGATGGCTCCATTCTCTGTAATGCAACCAAACTAGAGAATGTTGTTTGAAAAGACAAAAGCACACCGGTCATTCCATTCAGAATGGCTTTCAAATATTCCACAGATTATAAAGAAAATGTTACATACATGGCAGCAAAGCTTCTTGTTTCATTGCCACGTCTTTGTGAACCTTTAGGGAGGCTGGTTTGTCAGGCTGCTTGATACCCTGTTCAACACACGCAATATAACCATGTAAATTGTGATCCATCCAAACAGCACTCAGAAATAAATAGCAGTCAACGGAAACTTTTGATAGATTATGATCACCAAGTGGATGCATCCTCCGTTACAAAAAATAAAAACTACTGAGACAAAAAAAAAAAAAAAAATCTTACTGATGTGGTCCATATCGAAGAAGCATCTGCATCTTCAGACAGACGCTTGGAATTTTCTAGGCTAATTGGGCTAAAACAAGAAGTATCCACTACCTTCTTCTTTTCCCGCCTCTTCAGTATCTTCATATGGCACTTCTTGATATAGTGCATCAAATGATACTTAGAATGCCTAGAGCACAACTCTGCTTGGATATCCGGGTTCTCAGTTAGCCAGTCGGCTATATCTTTGGACTTAACCACGTCATCTTTCTCCAACGATTCTAACCAAATGTAAGCCGGTCTCCATTGATCGGTGCGCTTAAATCGAGCATGTGGAATATCACCCTGGTTTTCTTCCTTTCCATCCTGCCATTTAACATTACAGAAACCATGTCAAAACATCTGCATAATATTACCAATTCAAACATCAATGGTGTATTTCCCAAACTCCATTAGTAAATTAGCAAAAACACCAATGACAACTATAAGTTTTACAGAAACATAAGAGCTTAATTGGAGAAAAGAACTCTTCAACTATCTACTTGTCTGGCTCTAATTGATTCTTAGTTGCGAAATTCCGCTGTTACCTTTCTCCATTGGAAAGCAAGAAAAGTGTTTTTCTAAATTATTAGGTTCGAAGTGTTTTTCCCTAAACTGTAATCTTTTCAAGGGTTTATAGTCGAAAAGCCCGATCGTTTGCCTTATAATCTGCCAGAAGGCACCTAAAACTTTCGCTAATTTGCCTAAAAATCTCATCTAATCCCAATTAGCTTAATCACACAAAGATTGGACCTTTAACAAAAACCCAATTTTCTTTCTGGAAAATTTAACAAAATTAAACCTGAATTGGAGAATGTGGGTCCTGGTTGGGGAGTCGCATGCAATTCTGAATGGCAATGAGGCGGTGGCAGAGGTCGCCGCGGGGCATGGACTTGATGCCTTGGGGTATGAAATCGAAGTTGGAGTCGATCCAGGCTTCGACCTCGTCCATGGAGACAGCTTTGGCCTCGGGGAACGAGCAGAGCCAAGCTCGGGCCATGGTCTCCCATTCCTGGGAGGACTGCTCGCTGGCGTTGTCGTTGTCGGAGACTCTCTGTTCTGCCACCGCTTCTTCTTCTTCGGTTGCCGCTGGCGGTGCTGCTGGTGGTGTCGCGGCTAGGGTTTGGTCTCCGGAGTTCGACATTTTGCTCCCCGCAAAGGAGGAGGAGGAGAAGAGAACGGAATCTGACACCGCTGCGAATTTTGCAGCTTTTTGTGAACTGTTGATACAATTGAAACAAGGGGGCAACAACGACGTCGTTTTCGCGATGGTGGTTTGGTAACACAAATGTGTGACATTTATTTTGGGTTAATTACATTTTAACCCCAATAGCGGACCGCGAGGATTTTTGTTTTAGCTTTATAAACCCAGTTTAAAAATTGTAGTAATTTTAAACCACCCATCAGCGTTGACTGAAGATCAACCGTTAAATACTGACATGATCGCGTGTAAGAGAAGTGCAACTACATCGACCGTGACGTTCCATGTCGATAATACAATGTTATAATAAGATGACATGCAAACTCAAAAATAAGATTATATTTTCATATATCAAAGGTACATGTAGTTCTTGGAAAAAGGAAAAAGAGTACAAGTTAAGCAATTTTCTTAATTTAATTCCTACCAAAAATATTTCTAGCATCCTTTCTAAAACAACAGCATCCAATCCATTGCTCTATAGTTATCCCAAGCAGAACTACCTGGTCTTGTGTGCTTTGGCCATCTTTTTCTTTCGTTTCTTCAGAGCCTTCGGCACTTTGGTTTTCCGAGCTTCCCTCTTCTCTTCCTTCACTTTCTTCTTGTTCTCTTTCCTAGCAGCTTTCTTTTCGAGAGGATCCTGTGCCTTGGTTTCGGAAGAGGAGCTCTGCCCTTCCGAGTCACTTGAGTTGTCATCTGTATCAGAGTCAGATTCAGTCTCGGGATTTTCAGAGGGATCTGCTACAGCAGTAGCATCATCTTGTTTCTGCTCCTTCTCAGATGAAGCTGGTTGACCATGAGGAAGAGCCTCCTTCAGTCCTGTAATAGTTTTATAGTACATGTCCCCTGTGTCCTCTCCGCTAGTTAACCGTATTACATCCCGCTCAGCATTCTTCACGTCATCTAAAGTCTTTGGAATGTACGACTGGAAAGAAGCGAAGAAAAACAAATCAATGTCCCAAAAGTTCGGGTGCCCACAATCACGCAATGCGAAGTCAAAGGCATTCAATAAAACATTGTTACATTTTCATCACCTGTACAAATACAGAGTCTGCAATTTCCTCCTCTGCAGATATATCTCCTCTTGCCGTAACCTTTTGTTGTACCTGAAGTTAGCCAGTCAAACAGAGTTCTCACTTAAGTGGTTCATCTATTTATTTGTAGTGTATAGGAACCTAAATTCTTTAATATTTGAGACCAAAATGGACGGAATCAAACCATATCGAGATAACTCTCCACTGCATCATCAGCAATAGTTGGATCAACTATAAAATCAAAGAGCTCTCGAATTGTCATAACAGCTACACCATGTTTCTTAAAGAAATCCTGTATGCCACACAGCGCTTGATAAGCTCATAGCAGTGAGTGCATTACTTGTATTTATCATAAGCAATGAAAGCAGAACTTTGGAAAGAAAGTGACTTCCGCAACTTACAGATACATGGACACAATCTTCTCGTAGGAAATCAAGGGCATGAGGGTGGTCCAGATCAACTGCTTGAGAAACATCAATAATGTACAAGTGGCCCTGCCAAAGAGGAAGGGAAGACATAAGAACATAGCACACTATCATGTGCAATAAGCTTAAACTTCAAGTAATTAGTAGCAACTCACCTCAAAGTAAAGTATGTTGTATTCACTAAGGTCTCCGTGCACCAATTTGCTCTTCTGATACATTGTTCGCATAGCAATAATTATCTGGCAAAAAATACTACGCCGTCACTCCAGTACCCAAAGAAAATATCAAACACAAAAAACATTTTTGCTAGCATAAAAGTAGTTCATTTAAAAGTTTCCCAATAGTAATCGTTCGTATTTCGTATACAATCCAAAAACAAATCTTGAAGATTGTCTTTAAGTGAGATGCAATTTCACCAAGACTAGCAACAAAGTAAAAAATCTAAGAGCTTTCAAGGCCTGTGCACATGTCCCACTAGAACTCTTTTAGCCAATAGGTTCTTGTATTTAAATTATTATCACAGAAATATTTTCATATCAAAGATTTTAGCAAACCTCCATATAACCTTCCCGTAGCTTGTCTAGCGATAACGCAGCATCCTTAAGACGAGGTGCTGCCCAACCCGATTTCCCTGTAATAGAGTACATCAATCAAAGCTACTCTAACTAGAAACAATTTTTTACTTAATCTATAGGACCAAATCAAATTGTGATTTATATTCCGTCAGAATATATGTCCATTAAAGTTAGACATACCTATGAATTCCATGACCAGAACATGAAGTCTTAAAATAACTGTAGATGGGCACCTAATTCCGTTTTCCTTTAGCCTGCATTTTTACAGACCATCTCACATTCATTAGCACGACAAAAATTAGCTTTATAATTAATAGGACTGAAATGGAGTTTTTACATAAGCTTAAGCTAGAACCATAGTGCAAAATGGATAGACACTTCCTTCGTATTTCCACATATGTACTTATCAGAGACAAAGTGAAGAGAGTACTGATATGCAGGTTTAAACAATATTAAATTAGTGCTGCTACTTACCAAAGAATTAATTGTACTCGTATTTAAAATTGTGTTTCTCTTACCTCTTTAAATTCCTCATTTCTTTCTCAGCCCATGTCTGCACCATTTTCCTAGGATTGCGCTTGCAGTATCCATGTCTGAATCGGTAGTCCCCTTGTACATATCTATCCCTGTCCCTGAAGTTTTTTGGCCAGGAAACTAGTAAGATATATTATAAATCTATTGCTATAAACACAGGTATGGAAGATTCAACACGCTAACAGGTTGTCCTCGAAACTGAAAGATAACAAGATAATAACTTACGAAAAAAGAAAAGGATTTAAAAATAAATTCAAAAGAAACATCATACATCTACATGATAAAAAAATTTAGAAGATGTGGTAAACACTGAGCAGTTGAGCACTATATATTTCTATGCCCCAAAGAAATTTCTCATATTTGTAGAATTTATAGTGTTTAACTTAATAACATTGTGAAACTGTCAATTAGCCATTGGAACAAGCTCAAAGTATCACAGAAAGCTTACTTAAAAACCAGAATAGATGTTTTGAACACTTTGATAGCCATTTCCTGGCCATCAGATTTTGTTGCGTGATACACATTTGCCTGTTCAAGAAGAAAAAACAATTCCACGATCAAAACTAAATTAAGCAGTTATCATCACCGATTCACTGCAGCAAGATCAATACCAAGTCAATAAATTACATTCAGAGGTTAAAATATGAGTAACTCAATACGTACTTCTTTCCCGGTAGAAATGCAGCCATTGATATCATGAAACACGCCACTATTCAACATTTTGAACAAAACCATCCGAGTTCTAGGATCGATGGCCTAGTGAAAACACACAATCACTACAACTAATGAGCTAAAACACATAATTGGAATGATTAAAGAAAACCCATGAATGGAAAATGCTGTCTCTCACCTGCTCAACAGTGGCACGGTCTGCTTTCTCAGTAGTTTTCGTTCTGCCAATGGCCATGTCCCGAACACTTCCCCGAATGGCAGTGGTCACGGAGTTGGACATTCCAACGTTGAACCTCCCTTCCCACTCCTACACCCGCAAAACCGAAACAAAAGACGTCAACTTTGCAAGAAAATCAGCACCAAACAATAAACAGACTTGCAACCAAACAATTTTACAATTGAAATCCACTTTAAATTCGAAGTCTTACATACAATTACAACAGCAAGAAGACCAAACCCGATTAAAATTTCAGTGTTAAATTTGCAAAATTTGTACCTCCAGAGGCGAAGCTCGGATGTGGGTAGTGAACTTCTGGTTGCGATTAGCGAGAGGCTGAAGGGTCGAGGAAGCAGGGCGGGAGTGAAGGCCGCCGTGGGCATTGGGCCGCCGTGAATTGATGGTAAAGCCGCCTTCTACTCCTCTGTCGTCGTCCTTGGAGTCCAAATAGTCCAACGCATCTCCGACGTCGGAGTCCGACGTCCAAAGCTCCTCCTCCTCTTCGTCTTCTTCCACTTCCTCTTCTTCCACCTCTGCTTCTGGTTTTGCTTCGGGAGCTGCTTTCTCTTTCTCTGCTATGTCTTCAACCGGGGCCATTTGGAGGGAGCTGATCTGACGCCGATGGAGTTTTTGGTGGTTTTGATTTCTGAAACGGCTGAGAGCCGCTTGCAAATTTAGGGTTTTGCGCGCGATGGAAGACGCCACGTGGACTCTGTAATTTCTTCGTAATTAGAAAAAGCACCACAATAATATTTGTATTTCTGTAAAGGACTTCAAAAAAGAGAAACTTGTGCAATAACAATTGGAGCTGAGGTTTGGTAGAAACTTAAAGCCTCCAATTTCCCTAAAATAATTAAAGCCTACAATTTTCCTAAAACAATTAAAGCCTCCAATTTCCCTAAAATAATTAAAGCCTACAATTTTCCGAAAACAATTAAAACCTTTTCTATGAAAAATAACTTTTTTTTATGTTAAAATTAAAAATACTCCTCATACTATCGAGATTTTCTTAAAAAAAAAATGAAAAATACATTGACGGTAGCTCTACAAAATGTGCGTTAAAAATGTGTGAATGACTAAAATGACATTTACTACGTTAATTGGGTTTAATTGTAGCTATAATAATTATAGATAATAATGTAAGTTTCGTTGTGATATACATTATAATAAATATTGCGATTGTGTAAATCCTAAGTAAAGGTATATTAGGAATCTTTCAAATCTAGAAGATATTTCCTATTAAACTTTGTATTACTTGGAGAGCAAGTTTCTCTAGCACAAGATTTGGGAAATAACACACAGAATTCCTCAAGCATATTCTTGATCTCTCTTTCTTTTCTGCCATACATATGTTTTTTTCCTCAGTTAAATATAGGCCACAACAATTTTCACTTTTACCCACTTTCTCTCCCACTCCTATTTTTTATCTCTCTTTCTTTATTTTTTTTTACTTTTATTCGATAACTTCCATAATATGCATGCATACAAATTGCTAATACCACACACATATAGCTCTAGGGTTTAATAAAAAACCCTAATCGATTGTCCTCGACGATGAAGCGATCACAAATAGCTCCTCCTGCTTCCGCTTCCGCTTCCGATGAGGTTGAGGATACGGATGCTAATATAAACAAAGACGACAGATTCAGTGGTCTTCCCGATGAAGTTGTTCATCGTATTCTGTCCCCTCTTCCCTACTCAGATGTAATCCGAGTCGGAAGCTTGTCGAAAAGATGCAGGCAAGTTGGTTCCTCCATTCCCACCTTGAATTTTTCTCAATTTCCCTCAGATTCTACAGACACCTTCGACAAGCGATTGGAGCTGCTGGCTTCCTTGGACAACTTCTTCTCCCGCCGCCAGCTCGCTAATGGCAAAGACAAGATACGGTTACAAACCTTTGATCTTGAGTGGGAGTTTCCGCACCATGGATTTGAGCGGGATACCAACATCCCAAATTGGAGGGACAATGAGGCACGTCGAGTTTGCGCTTCTATTCGTAATGCTGTCGACTGTCGTCTTGAAAATCTCTCTGTTTTCTATGGGATATGGTCGTCTGCCAACGCCAAACGTGAACCAGTTGAGTTTCCTTGTTGCGCTTTCAACTGTGGGTCTCTGAAGTCTATAGATCTTGAAATGTTTGATACAATTATTAAAGCTCGCAGCATTGCTACTTGCACTGTTTCTAATCTGGTTTGCTTGAGGTTGAAAGAAGTGACTGTGGAAGATGGTGACGGATTTTGTAAATGGGTTTCGTCGGCCTGCAGATTTCTTAAGGAATTGGTACTCAAAGATGTGGCTAGGTTACAAAATATCACCATTGAAAGCCCGTCTTTGAAGTCGTTTCGGCTGCACTTGATTTCGGGGTGGAGCCCCCTCCACCATCTTCATATCTCTGCTGAGAAACTTGAGCGTGTAAATATAGCTTGCAATGGCAGGCCGTTGGAAATCTCTGCTCCAAATCTTAGGTACTTGAGGATGCAATGGAGAGGAACCAAGATGATGAACATTCGGAATCCAGGGGAATTTAATCGTTTGGAAAAAGCAGAGCTTGAAGTTGTCCACAATCAGCCCGGAGTTGAGATGGAAACCGCATCTCATGATCAGTTCCTCCTCTCTAGTGTTGTTCAAAGTGTTAAAGTTCTTGCTTTACACGACCGATGGACTATAACAACTCTGTCCAAGGAAGGTTGCACTGCACCACCATTACATAACGTTTGGTGCTTGCGAATGAGTACCTGGAGTTTTGACGAGTTTGACAACAACCTAGTTCCAACAGTGGCCTCTCTTTTCAAAAGACTCCCTAATTTGAATACCTTGGAGATTTACGTGTCCCATTTGTTCGGAAAACCAGAACATGGATTTGATAGCGCATATTGGCAACTCCAAAACCTGGATTTTATATCCCAGCTTAAGCATGTAACCTTAGAGTTAGAGGTCTCTGAAGGGTTTAACGACTCTAATCTAATCGAGTTTGCAAGGTATGTGCTCGAACATGCTCAGAATTTGAAGAAAATGGCTGTGATTTGTGAACCCAGTCAGTCAAGGTTGATAAGTTCGATAAGGTCGGTCACGAGTACTTCCAATGCCTCAGTTGTCTTTCTGGAAAAAGGCTCTATCTGCACTTCCGTGATTTGGCACGCCTATTCCGCGGGATCTGTACAAGAACTGAATAATCGCTTGATCGATCCTCTTCCTGATGTGGCTTAGTAGTCTGCCTCACTAGTTCCTCCTGCCCCTCTCTAGGAGTAGGTGTATTTCGTTAGTGGCGAGATCCTTGATTCTTTATATGCACTAATGATCGATTCTACGTTACTTCATTTTATCGAAATTGGAAGATCTGTCATGTTATGTGTGTTGCTTTTGTTGATAGTATTCACTTATATGGAGCTAAACGTATTTAAGTCAAGTCCAATGGAATTGCACTGGACTTGTAGCTCGACTGGTTAACGACATTTCTCCGATGTTGCTTGTAGCTCGATCGGTTAACGACATTTCACTTACAAATTCATTACTTAGCAATCACATCGGGTGTCCACTCACGCATTTGGCCCCTAGTTGCTGTAAGTATTAGCTTTTAACATGTCCTCAATATATGAGCAATATATCGTCGCTATGAGCGATATCCATTGAATTTGATTTATTTCGAGATTTAACCAAAAACTTTGAACCATGTGGTTATGAGACGACACACACATGTAATCTACGAGTTTAAACTCTAAGGGTGCGTTTGTTTGCCTTCACTGGCTTTCACTAGACTGGACTGGACTAAGTATTAGTCCAATCCTATGTTTGTTAGGAGCTGAGATAGTTTTAATGAGACTAGAAGGGACTCGCCCAGACTAAAGGCTTCTCTAGCCAGTCTTAGCGAGACCCCTCAATATTGAGCGGACTGCTAATCCGCTTCGCCCCTTCCTGCTTCATCCCTCTTATCAACGACTGTAGACTTCCCCACCTCCCAGAAAACCCAGAAGAGTAAGTCTGCAATTACCCTCAACCACCCATCTCCCAGAAAACCCAGAAGAGTAAGTCTGCAATTACCCTCAGCCACCCACCTCCCAAACCAGCAGCCACCTCCAAAGCTAACAACTATCTCTCTCTTCTTTCTCTCTGAATTGATGGAATCCAACGCATAACCCAAAAATAAAACCCACCGACATCCAAGCACAAACACCAGAAGAGGAAGATGAAGGTAACCTTCCTAATCAGTCCAACAGTCCAAGCCGTCATCCAATTTGTCTCGGAACACCCAGAAAAAACCCACCTCAGTGGCCCATTTCTCATCTGGGTTCAACCCCACCAAGAACCCAGACCCCAATTCGACCAAAACCGAAATCTTTGAATTGATTTGTCGTGCCTTTAAGAATTTGTTAGAGATAGATATTCTAGACAAAAATAGTGAAATTGAGAGAGGGGAGGGAGAGAGTGGCGGAGGAAAATAGGTTTTCTGAGAGATGATTCTAGAAATAAAAAAATATTGGCCATTAGGGAGAGGTAGATGATTTCATAAAATAATAAAATAAATAAAATTATAATATAATATTAGATATACAATAAATAATAATATTATAGTTTATTAATTATCCTGCTTTTTAGTCCAACATTGCACCAAACGCTTCCCTAGGCTACTCCAGCCTAGTCCCTGAAGCTAATCCAGTCCGAGATAGTCCGGTGCAACAAACGCACCCTAAGGAGAATAAAGTTGAGAATTTAACTGAAAATCCCAGATAATGTAACATTAAGAAACCTCCATGTCTTTGATGTATGAGAAGTTAGTATTATCCGTTCATGTACACCCCACTCCAGGGTGTGACTATAACCTTAAAAATACACGAAAGCTACGGATCGATTTTGATAGCTAAAGCAATGATGGACTACCTCAAAAACGAACATCTGTGATGTATTCAAGAATTTAGGGCCTCAAGTTGCTTTCGGAGATCTTCTAGGTCGTCAACTGTACCCTCTGTAGCTTCAGTAGGCGGTTTTTGGAACTCATCTGCACTGGGAAGCTCGCGAACAAGACCTTCTGGAAGAGCATCTGAGACCAGATGGCAGATGATGATGAGAAAACAAGCCATTCATAAATTTGTAAACCCATAAATATATCAAATATAAGGAATTGTAAATCACCACAGAATTCCAGTTCCAAATGGTGGAAAAATTCGAGATGTTCGAGCGAAATCCATAGAACTTGAAACAGTAAAGAATAAATTACCTGGAGTTTTGGCCTCCGTACTTTCTGGCTCGTTATCATCAACAACACTGCAAACACAAATTGGACGTATGCTTTCATTTCCATGAAACTAGTCCTCCAAAATGCATGTCATTCTTTTTATATGCAACTTGGGACACATCCCTGATGTTCGTAACCATTTAACACGAAGAAACATTAACTACTTAATATGAAGATACATTCCATTGTTGGTAGAAGTACCTTATTTCCCATTCATTATCAAGATGAAGTGGAGATTCCGGAACTGATGATGCTTCAGCTTCCATCTTTGCTTTAATTGCAGCATCCCTAGCTGGCTTTACGAGCAAGTATTCTTTCTGCACGGTAGATATTGCCTCAGCATCAATGACAAACAAACTAACCGGATGTTTAAATAAATAATCATTAGATCCATTTCGAGTGCCCAAGGCCAGATCTTAGTTTCTTTACCTGCCGATCTAGACAAGCAAAATTAGAACACTGAGGGTTTGGCTTCATTTCCATAGTTGGGAAGAAGTCTTTAAGAGAATTATATCCCTGCAACCAAGCAAATCAAAATTCAGGCAGATCGGCGCGGAGCAGCGATGCATTATTTGATGCTAAATCTTAAACATATAGATCTAAGATTTTACAACAACCTTCAAGATGTTTTGCCAAATAAAGCAGAATGAGAGAGAATATACATACGACTTACCAAGTATGGGGAGACGTTTCCAAAGTTCAGCAAGTATTTTAGTGTATTTTGGACTAGAAGCCCAGCAACAACTCCCTAAAAGATGAAAACAAATCAGTTGCTTTAGGACATGATATACTGACATATTAATCAACCAGTTATAGATTGTCTCCACTACTACAGATTAACAAAGTGAATCATCATCTTCAGTTGAAAGATTTTTTTTTTATTTATTTTTATTTCTCTTTGTAGTATTATGTACCAACACATTCATGCGGTCACTCTACTACATGAATTTGAAGCAAACTACCAGTGAAACACTAACACTAGCAAGTTTGAATGATAAAAGTCCAAAGAAGGGGAGCCGCCAACAGACTGGAGATGAAATTTTCTTACCATAGTGGTAGGTAAAGATGCAGCACACACCCCTTCACGCTTAAGTGTACGTTCATCCACTCCAGATGCCACAACCTAAGGAAGAGATACATATAAGACAAAGAATATCAATCTTCAATTCTTCATGTTTTACATTCCTCACAGAGAATCCTTCAGCATCATCAAAGTTCAAGCAAGAGAATCATACCAAAGGTGGTGCACATGCAAAACAGGCAGTCTCACCAGGGATCAGCAACTGAATATGGCCTGAAACAGCATCCTCAGACACACCTGTCAAAGTTTATGTTCTTCATGTGAATTTTGCCCCTCACCATATAACTCATACATACAAAACTAGGTCATACACCATGAGTCTTTCAGTTAACACTTAAGGTTTCACAAATGTAGGAACTATTTGATTACCAGACTCCATCCATGTCTGATTCAGTTCATTGCAAGCCTGTTTCACAATAAAAAATAAAAAAATAAAAAATAAAAAAACCATTATGATGGTTTACTTGGAGGCAGAAGGAACGAAGAGAACATAATTATAAATTTAGAACGAAGAGGACATAATTATAAATGTATAAGTGATAACTTCATACCTGATTAACAGCCATTCTTGCTTCATAATTATCAACACAGCTTAGTACAAGGTCCACTCCACTGCCTTCTTTATTTGGGCGAAACGATTTATTTTTTAAACTGGCCATAAAGGTATCAAAACCTTGCACAGTTGTGATGTTCAGTGTATAGCTCTAAACACAAAGAAATTGATTAGCATGGTTACAAACTATGGGCACTATGATTGAGAGATCAAATATACAAAGATCTATACAACTGGCATTATCATACAGTCCATTCATCTATGCCTAGAAAGTGTACACAGAAAAATTAAGATCGAATAAACCATAAAAGTTGTGACGAAGTTTGAAAGGAGAAAAAATCCTGATAAATGCTTACCTCAAGCACAACATCGGGATTTATGTCTGAAAGGGTCTGTACAGCAGCATCTGTTTTCGTCATACCACTCTGAGAAGGAAAACACATTCACATTAAAATGAAAACTTCAAAAATGTATGATCATGAATTACTTGGAAAATAAAATTTTGTGGGGTATGTAAAAAAAAGGAATAAAGGCGAGAAAGGGACTTTGGTAAATCTTTGAAGCATAAAACACCTAATCTTTGAAGCATAAAATGACCTGATTGAGGACCGGTAAAGAAAATTTTCACATATTAAGAATGATGAATGAGAATAACAAGTATGAATACCTGCTCTGGTCGAAAGAATAACCTATTCATGTTAGCTAACTCTACTTTGTCATAATCATACAACAAAAGGCGACCAATACCACATCTTGTTAGCATCTCAGCTGCTACACTTCCTACACCGCCTACTCCCTGCATATAACGAAATAGGACATCACTACAAGGCATTGGCAATAACTAGATTTAATTTCGTTTATAATTACAAAATGAAACAATGAAAGAGGAGATAAATACATACAACAATGGCAACTGAGAAGTCCCGTATTCTTTCATAATTTTCCACAATACCCATCCTCTGAAGTGCCATAAGCCTACTGTAAGGATTGCTATCTACCACCTCGGCACTCATATCCTGCCAACATAACATATAATGCATGAACAAACAATGCAATCATCACCTAATATCACGCATTTTGACAATGACAGCAGATAAACCGTAGAATTACCTTCACTTTTGAACGCCGAACAGGTCCAGAATTTGCAAGGCTCGTAAGGCGTTCTACACGCAATTGTAGCTACAAATTACATTTTTCATGAAGCAAAAAGAAAAGTCAGCTCTACAAGAAAAATTAAAAAACCTTAGTAAACTTCTCAGCATTCAGCTAATTGAAAACGTTTCACTTATGTCTCATAAATCAAACTTCAAGCTAAACACAAATAATTAAATATCCTAGTTTCT